TTGAAATTCCAAAATTTTGACCAAACAATTTTCAAATTTAACAAAATTAAAATACCGAAATTGTTAAATTCGAAAATACTGAAATTATCACAAGAACGAAATTAAAATTTCGATTCTCAATTATTCAACATGAAGAGGCTCTGATACCACTTCTTGGATAAAATAATAATATTTACCGTCATAAGATCGTTCATGTTGGATCATCATGAACTAATTAACCAAAAGCGGAAGCGTACCTAGATCAGACATGATTATCGCAATGAATAAATCTTAGGATTTTAGTCTTCCAGATCAACACGTTGTTCCTTAGTTTCTCTCTGAAGATGGGAGTCAGAATAGAATGAACAAAACCTGTGATCTGGGGACCATAACCATATATTTATACAGATTGTCCATTGACCTAATTCGGCCCATCATGGAATTAGGAATAGGCCCGATCCCTACACATATAAGCCCATACTTTAATTAGATGTTTCAAAACCCAAAATATCGAAATCTTATTAGACAAATTGATAGCTTTTAATTTAATACACAATATTTCACATATAAGCCCACGTGTGTAATTAAAAATCCTTACAAATTAATTTTAAATGTGAATTCTATCAAAGAAGACTACAAAACTACTGTAAAAGGATAACAAAAAAAATCATAAAGAACTTGGAATGAAAATTGTGCATAGGTAGAGGGCTATGTATGTTTTATAATTGAAGCACTTATGAATGCCATTGTAACTCTATTTATTATTAATTTTAGAATTTTATTGTGTCGCGTTAGCATTAGAAAGAAGGTTTAACGTTGATGGATGGCTAATATTAGCAATGACACTAGGATTGAAGAAGTGTAAGTCTCGTTCTACATCAGATATATTTGAAAAAAGATGTAAATTGGTGTACTTTGATTTCATCAATATTGGTGATGTAGAAGACGACTCATAATCTATCTCGATCCAACTGTCACAAGTCGCACCATTACAAGCATTATGATTTACTATGACATACTTTACATATTAGACTGACGACCAACGAAAAATATAACTAATAAATATAGTAACATATTTGGTAGTTAATATTTTTACACGACGATTTTAATAAGTTGCCTCGTCACGCAAATATTTTTCCAACTCGAGTCCACATCAAATAAGAATATGCCCAATTTACGCAAAGAAATTCCCCCTCCAAAAAGTACAGAGGGAGGAAAAAACATAAACCCCTAAACCTTCCTCTCTCTCGCACACAACTTGTTACAACCTTGGCAGCATAATAACAACGTAAGTTTTTTCTCACTTTCAATTCCACTTCAAACATTAATGCAGAGGTTAGAGTTTTAATGAAAGGCTTGAACTTTATACAATGATTTTTATGCATTTTTATGTTAAATCATGAAATCAAGAATATTATGTCTTTTTGTAGGGACTGGGGAGCGAAAATAATGGCTTATAGGCGTAGTTTAACAGCTCGAGCGAACCGTCTTTATCAGCAAAGATTCGAACCCTCATTCTCATATATACACCGTGATGACAATGATCGGAAAAACCCCAGTAATAATCCCATTTCGGAAAACCCAAAAATCCCAAATTATTTCCAGCAAGGATTTCTTGGTACCCGAAATAATAGTTTTTGCAGGGTCAATGAGTCGAAAAGTTTGTTTCGAGATCAAAGATTTTCGATTCCGGTTGGTTATGGGCCGGTTTTTGCGAGATATATGTCGGCAGCGAGTGTGGGTGAAGGGGCAGCGGATAAGATTGAGATTGTGAGTGATGTGGTGGAGATTCTGGCGGATAAGACAGCCGAGGCTGGGGCGGTGGTGAATGAGGTGGCGATTGCGGCGGCTGATTCGTATTTTCCTGTGGCTGTGCTCCAATACTTGATTGATTATGTTCACAATATTACTGGATTTAATTGGTGAGGGCGGTACTGTCATTTCATTAACCGGCATTTGTGTATCTTTTTCTTCTACTGTTATTTTTAAGAAATTGCTTATTAGAAAACCTAATGAATTTGATGTGATTATTTTTTGACTAGTCAATATGTGAAACTTAATTGTTGGAAATGTTATTTGTTTCAAATTTGGGTTAGAGAGGATCAGACAACGCACTATTCATGAAAATTTTAGATTGACACGCGTGCTGCACTATGCATTAAAATTTTAATGTAAAGCTGAAAACTTGTAAGAAGTAAAGATACTTATTTTAGAGCATGTTTGTCCAATCTTAAAAAATAGTGTTTTTGAACAATAATTAACTTTTTTTTTTCTGTTTTAACGTTAAAGTGAGCTTATGTTGTAAGTAACTCTCAAGTCTTAACCTACTATTAATATAAGTAACTTGCTTATTTCCAACTTAGACAATTAAGAAAAAATATTTTGTTTAAAACTTATAAATAAAGTTTTTAAGCTTAGCCAGACATGCTTGTAAAATTTTCTAAAGGTGAAAATTTAGCTCTCTGAGGCATGCATCAGAATCTAGCTTGAGTTGGAAGTGCATCATATTGTTGCTGAAATGTTTTAAAGATGGCTGAAATCAAGATTTTATTTTTTTCTTGAAACTTGATTTTGTTTAGGTGGGCATCAATAATTGCGACAACTCTTGTGATTCGGTGGCTAGCTCTTCCTCTTATGGTAAATCAACTGAAAGCGACTTCGAAATTTACTGTAAGTTCTTGCACATGCTTTTTGCTCACTTGGATTTTATGTTGTTATTTCCTTTTATATTGGCAAATGCTGGCACTTTTAAGATGTTTAAATGTCGAATATTGCCTATCAAAGTCATTCTACGTCTACATGTCAGGGCCCTTGTCTTTCTCATCATATGAGAGTAAATTATTTTCCATATTGTTTATGTAATAATTGGGCCAATCAGTGCTAATTGCCAAAACCAAAATTGTGATTTCATGATTTTTGAAAATTTAGCAACAAATTGATATTGACAATTTTCCAATACTAACAATTCTGCGGTTTTTCGGGTCAAAACCTCGCAAAAGCAGGTAGTTATCTCCTTCTGTTACCATTCTCATGAAAAAAGTTGCCTTCCAAATAGACAAAAGAACGATGAACATTGGGTTGTGCACAGCATTGATGATTATAGCATCAACTCATGGCCTTTTTACGTAAGAAGGCTAGGTTAAATGATTGAATTTTTTTCCCCTGTATTTTGTGGCACCGAGAAATGAGAATTGGTGGTGTCTCTTATATGTGAGTTACTGTTAGTGCCACTGAACTGAGATTAAAAACCTTGGATTGGATGTTTGGTCTAGAGTTCAATTGTCCTGGTAAAGTAACTCTTTACACATTCATCACTGATTTACCGAGCTTTTATTTGGAGAATTTGGTTGCAGTTCTTGCGATTCTTCCAGTTTGTAATATTATCTAGTTTTAAAATATTCAGTTCAATGACCATTTTACTTGTTTATGCGTAGTAACAGAGGTTAGTAAAGTTTGTTACTTTTCTAAATGTTTTTTAGTTTCATAATTTCATGCATTTTTCCTCATTGTGTTGACGCTACATGGAAAAATATTGTGTTATTCTTGGTGTACCATATCTGGTGACCTTGCTTATTTGTTTGATGTATTTAGCACGTTTTTAGTGACTTCCATATCTTATGCAG